CGTGGGGACAAGAACAAGGAGTGCCTGACACGTAAGCAGGTTTGGGTGAAATACCGGCTGTGAACAAGCTCATATTTACGGATCTAGCCTTTTATATATATAACTAGATGCTTGTCCCGCGCAAATGCCCGGGGGCGTCCCACCTAATAAATCGATATGTAAATAATCAAAACTGATTAGGAATGAATTTAGTTTTTGATGAAAATAATTGATTGACCAGAAATTAATTTTTTCGAAAGTCCTAAATAAATGGAGAAGGAAAATTTCATACACTGTCAAATTCAAAATTTGAATGAACGTGACCATCTGATCTCTTCGTTAATATTGTAAATAAATTTCTTATTTTTAAAAGGAGGTGACACGTGGCAGAATGATTAATGCAATATGGTGCATTTGGAACCAAAACATTTTAATAAGAAAATACCACATCAGCATCCTGTTTTCTGCTTTAATAGGGTAAAAGGGATAATGATCTCTTCTGCAATGATCGTTATATAGTTTTTCTAAACGAAGATCACTTACAATATCACTTTATCTTTTATTTCAAATTAATTTAGAATTATACCAATATATCAAACTTCATGTTCAAAATACTCCCTCTGTCCCAAAATTATTGTCCAGTTTGAGATTTTATTTTTAATACAATTTGAACTAGAAATAAAAATCCAAACTGGACAATAATTATGGGACGGAGGGAGTATTATTTTGTCTCGATATAATATAAGCATCTTAAAAAAATTTATGAAATGAGCAAAATGAGGGATTAAGAATCTCGTATTTGCTAATTTTTCATGCGTAATTTCTCTTTTAATTCAACTTTCGGTTTTACCGAAGAACTCAATCAGTTGATTCCAACAAGATTGAATATACTCAGCAATTTTGTAGGATCAAATTGGTTTGACTTTCTTTAGAATTAAAACCGAAAGAGAGAGGCGGAAGAGTGATGTTCATTTTGTCTGTCGAGATGTCAAATGTTAGTGTGTAAATAGCCTAGCAAGTTGACTACATGGCAAAGGGAATTAATTGGGTAATTTTAAGCAATGTTTAGTTACTTAATGAGAGAAGTGGTCAATACACAACAAATACATCATACCACTCTTTTAAAAAAAAAACTCACAAAAAGGAACAATTATGTAATTTCACCAATATTATTTCAACTACTATCCGATTTCACTATCTATTTTTAATACAAATATCATTTTCTCTGATCCTGCGCATTCTTATATATTATATATAATACTAATGGCTCAATCTGAATACGGTTCTGTAAGGCTAAGGCTAGCTATAAAGCTCATCTCCAATTTCATACATCTTATCCTTTCACCAATGAGAGTACGAGGTTACCATTATAAACTCCCAAGCAAACCGGTTTGAAGAAATGAAAAGAAAAGGAAAACAAGATTTCTTACTAGTTTTGACCTTTCAAGGGCCACGACAACACGAACGAAAATTGTCAGTTGAGAATTAAAGAAAAACCAATTTAGACACCTAGTATATGAATATATCGAGTCCCATAGGTTACAATAGATAGATGTGTTCAGTTGCAAGTGATCATAAATTGTTACTCCCTCTGTCCCAAAATTATTGTCCAGTTTGATATTTTATTTTTAGTACAATTTGAACTAAAAATGAAAATTTAAATTGGACAATAATTATGGGACGGAAGGAGTATTAAAAGTGTAGTTGCGATTGCTTTTATTGGGGCTAAATATTACTCCTATTTTCCTAGGATGTTGCTACTTTCATTGTAATAATGAAAACATTATCTGATGAAATACTTTTGAGTTTTCAAGACAGACGTATCTAGTTCGATTCTTAATCTCGATAGTTTCAATCAGTAGAATAAAAAAACGAATATATATTAATAAAAGAAGTAGAAAGGATTGTAGCCTTTTCCTGGATTAAGATCCTATGAGCAAGATGACAAAGCATAAAAATAACTGTGTTACATTAACATGAATCGGCCGGCAAAATAAATCTCAAAAATCCCATCTTGTTCTTCTATATATACCACCACCCCCTATTCTCATCATCTCATCATTTTTTGTTTTAGAATTCTACTCTTTAAGCTTCAACATTTCAGCTTATGCTTTGTTAGCATTGTCCCATTTTACTGATTTAGTTTTTGGAGTGGACCCTTTTTCAAAAAAGAGAATCTTCATAAATTGATATACTTGCACACTCTATTTTAGCTCCCTGTTTTCACCATTTATAAGCTTCCAGTTGGTCTAATGGGGGAATTATTGGGCTTCATTTGGGTGATTCTGATAGGAGTTTACGGCGGTTTCGCGGCGGTGAAATGGCTGCTGAAGGCTGTGAATGGGTGGAGATTTGAATCTGTATTGGGTGATAAGAAGTTTGATCTGCCACCAGGTGATCTGGGCTGGCCTTTCATTGGCAACATGTTCTCATTTCTCAAAGCTTTCAAGTCCCGCGATCCTGATTCTTTCATGTCCAGTTTCGCCACCAGGTTCCTTTCAGTTTTAAACATCAATTGTTTTGCCATCCACAATACTTTAATTAATTTCGATTTCTTTTTGTTCGGATTACTGTAATCTCTTGTGATGATAAGTGATAACAAATAACCCAATGCTTATTTTGAGCCATGCTACATATATAAAACATCATCACACCAAAGAACAAATTTGTTTTTTTCTTTGTGTGTTTGTGGGCATAAAGTAATGATCCCAATGCAAGGTTAAAATAGTGCAAAGAATTTGATTTTTCCTGTCTTGATCCTCAGCTTAGAAACCAACTTGGTTTATTTTAGTGAATCATGAGTCCGTTCTTGCGAAAGAACCAAACGCTCTTCATGCAGTCCATATTATTTCTTGCCATTCTTCTCTTTTTACCACTTTTCAAAATGGCTACACTCTTCCTCTGGGAGACAATTGCGGCGAAAGGATCACACAAGTGCTATTCCTTTAATCCAACCAATAGCTGAGTTTGCATATTCTTTATGCGTAAGGTTTCTGTGGCTCATATCTTCAATCAGCGGCCAATTTGGAATCGTTTGTGAAAGGTTATAAACGTCTACTCTGTTCATCCAAAGGATGAAAGATGTTCGCCAAGTATTACACTCTTCTACTTTTGATTTGGCCATTTTTCCGACGGGATCCGTGCCGAATTTCTTACTCTAAAGTGGGGTTCATTTGGAATCTTTGACACCCATAAATGGCAGAAAATAAAGATTGGATACTATCACAATAATGAGGTTCATTCTCTTATGAAAGAAGTGGCTCTGCCACTTTAGGATGTTTGTATGATTGAGCAATATTTCGTTTCATTTGAAATTTCTTTGACATTCTCAAATTCATTAGGCTGAGGTTCATGCAGATTCGGTAATGTGGGACTCTACAAGACGGTGATGTTTGGGAATCCAAGTGTTATTGTAACAACACCAGAAGCATGCAGGAGAATTTTGACTGATGACGAGGCGTTCAAGCCTGGTTGGCCTTCCTGTACAATGAAACTCATGGGGAGGAAATCATTCATCGGAATATCCGAAGAAGAGCACAAAAGATTGAGGAGATTGACGGCTGCTCCGGTGAATGGGCATGAGGCATTGTCCATTTACTTGAAATTTATTGAGGACAATGTAATCTCAGCTTTGGAGAAATGGTCCAATATGGGAGAGATTGAAGTTTTGACTCAAATCAGGAAACTTACCTTCAAGGTAATTATGCACATTTTCTTGAGTTCAGAAAGTGAAGAAGTGAGTGATGCCTTAGAAAGGGAGTACACTGAAATCAACTATGGTATCAGATCAATGGCTATTAACCTTCCCGGATTCGCTTTCTACAGAGCTCTAAAGGTAAACCAAAATCATCTTTAAAATGAAGGGTTCCTCTGTTATTGTTGGATGTCTTATTTGAATTAGACCTTCAAACAAGCAATTTTGAATGAAATTTCAGGCTCGAAAGAGGCTTGCTGCGATCCTTGACAGAGCCGTTAGTTCGCGAAGGGCACGAAGAAAGGAAAATCCAACTGCTGGAAAAGAAGATATGTTGGATTTATTGCTGAATGTTGAAGATGAGAAAGGTAGGAGATTGGACAATGAGGAAATTGTGGATATATTAGTAATGTACCTTAATGCTGGTCATGAATCATCTGGTCATACCTCTATGTGGGCAACCTTATTCTTACAGAAGAATCCTGAAATCATGCAAAAAGCTAAGGTAACCAAAATCATGTTGAAGTAACATTTTATATCCATGATAACATATGATACGTAGTGGGGACCTTACAGGCTGAACAAGAGGAAATTGTGAGGAACAGGCCACCAGGTCAACAAGGTATGACGTTCAATGAATATCGAAAAATGGACTATTTATTTAAGGTTTGTACTTAAACTCTGTATCTAAGATCATCTGAAAAATATTGCACTTTACAGTAAAATAATCCTTACTTATGTAGCTCCAAATCAAAATATTGTAGGTGATTGATGAAACGCTTCGCCTAACTACAGTCTCGCTGATGGTATTCCGAGAGGCAAAGAAAGATGTGAATATCAGTGGTTAGTTTCATTAGTCTTTATCCTCGTTTAGACTACTAGTTTAGTTTATAACCATTCAATGGATCTTTCATTTGATTATTATAGTTCCAAAACTCATTTTTGTTTCAGGATATACCATTCCTAAAGGATGGAAAGTTCTGGTCTGGTTTAGAGGTGTCCATTTTGATCCTGAACTGTACCCTGAGCCTAAGAAATTTGATCCTCAAAGATGGGATGTAAGTTGGATAATCTCATTTTTCTTTCTTTTCATAGTAGTTGTATGATTTCAATGTTGCAAGTAAACAATTTCTATACCTCTTCCTTGATTCAACATAAAATCTCTGAGTTAACGCCAATGTTACTGTTACTGGTTTTGTAACTAAGGTTTACTCATTCGACTCATATGATTTCTTAATTTCTGTTTTGAGTTAGGTTATACTGCTTTTTATCATTTGGAAGTCCTTTCATCGACGTGGTAGCTTATTTTTCATTTTCCATTTGTAAGGGACTTGTAGCGAAAGCCGGAACCTTTATTCCCTTTGGAGCAGGAACAAGATTCTGCCCCGGAAACGAACTGGCCAAGCTTGAAATTGCTATTTTCCTTCACTATTTCCTGCTCAATTACAAGTAAGCAAAGCATTTTTTTGGTTTCATTCTCATATCATTCTTCTCCATGATGGCTTAGACGCTGATTTTTGGATCCCTAAACCCGAACGTATACATTGGCTTCTTCTATTCTTGGTACTTGTGCAGGCTTGAACGGGTGAATCCATCGTGCCCAATAATGCACTTACCTCATCCAAGGCCCAAAGACAACTGCTTGGGAAGAATTAGAAGGATCTCTGCTTAATTGGATCACAGAAGACAGGAATTAAAGCTATGATCCTGAAAATACATATATTTTTGGCATTTTGCAGAAGTAGCTTGACTCCGTAGCTGGTTTGTGTTTTTTTTTTTTTCTTTTACCAAACAAAATTACACTAGAAACTCTTTGGGTGGCTACTGCGATTGGAAAATTTGGAATGTTGTGTCATATTATCAATTCACTTTGTTTTATAGATCGATCATTGGGATAGAACAATAGAGTCTCAATTCCTTGGCTCATTTTACCATTACTAATTAATAGGCACATTTAAAGACACGTACGTTAGATATTGTTGTGTTGTGTGTGACAGTAAACTTAATTTCATGATAAAAATAGTTGTACCTTCCACGAAAGATTAAAAAAAATGATGTTGACGTGTTTTTATAAACTAATTAAGATGATTGATGGGAAAACTTGAACTTCAACTAGATTTATTTATTCCAAAAAAAAAAAAACTGGATTTATTAATTCCCTCTAGTGAGGCATGGAATTTAAATTAGTTGCCGGCTTAATTAAAGATGTCGGTGGTTGATTTTTCCCTTTCGATTTATTTGGAGAACTGAACTAATACCGTAACTAAATGTTTGGAGGCAAATTAGTTTATCATATAAAGTAAGTGGTTTGAAACACGTTGATTTCAAATATTTAGATAGTGTCAGTTTGAGAAAAAAATTGTATTTGAAAAGTGAAGACCGACTCGGCTCAAACTAATTTCAAACGACTCTGTGATATTCTCGAAATGCAGAGTCCAGTTGTTAGAATCGTCAAAAGATGTCAATACCTTTGATGCAAAATGAGCTTGGATGTTTAATCATTTGTTAACAAAAGAATGTCGAACTCTGAAAAGATGAATAAAACGGCCATCAAAGGCCAGCTTTACTGATTTGATGGAAATTAATTGGCTGTGGATAGCCAGAAACGTCAAAAAGTTTACAAGAATCAATACTAAATGGTAAAGAAATACAAGAAAGCTTAAAGAAAAGAAATGTCAAAAAAGCTATAAAGAAACTAGAAATATGATTTCGTATGATGAATTGTGTGTGTCTTGCCGTCTCTTCTTCATAGCTTTTATAGTCCGTGTGCCAACCCTAGTTGGAATGCAAACGAAATTGAATGTGATAAGGACTTCTGTTGCGATGGGAATCCTTCTCCGACAAGGACTTCTGTGCCGATGAATCCTTTTCCAATTCAACTTGCCATCTGATTCCTTAGCTCTGAACTCGCGATTTCTTGCAGGCTGATCAACATTACTTTGCTGCGATCGGCCCAACTCATGTGGACAGGATTTGTTAAAATCAATCCAACAGTGTCTAAGAAGATTCTTGAGGCGTTTAGTAACTATAAGGATGTCTTCCACCCCTTTTGTATAAGGCTATAAGCTCATCCCTAGTTTACTTTTTTCTTGGACAGTAGTGACTTGAGAGAAATCGAAGAAAATGGTAAAAGAATGGATGAAGTAGAATATGCAATCTATGAAGGGAGCTTTAATCTGCCAGGTAAGATACATTTCTTCCCATAGCATGCATTCGACTCAAAACTAATTGGTAAATGAGTCAAAATGTACGTTTCCAGAAAAAGATCTTGTATATTTATAGTTTTGCACGTGAGACTATATATATGCGATAGAGTCCATAAATTGTATTTTAATTGTTGATATTTTATTACTCTATGGACTCGAATATATTTAATTTACTGGTTTAGTTATTATTTCATGATAGGAGATGAAAGTAAGAAATTAGAGCTGTTTTGGACAATTTTGCATAATTAGGGACTTGATTGCACAATTGAAGAAGTTTTACGGCAAAAATGACAAAGTTATAAAGTTGAGGGACCGAAGTTGCAAATCATGGATTTCTTTTCTCTTTTCCTGCGGCTGACCAAAACTCCTATCATATACTAGACTTTTTATCATTGTAAAAATGAGCAGCCGTGTGTATCCAAAAGGCTAGCGCCTCCAACTTTTCGTTTATGAGTTTTTCTTCGTTTTCCATGGAGTATAAAGCCGTCATGCTTTCAACTATGAGTGGCTAAGTTTTCTTTCTGATTCAAAGGATTTATTCAGTTATTTCATTATGAGGTTTCGTTCTTAATATGCTATTCTTGCCTATGGTTCAAGTATTTGTTGATTCTTGTCTTAATTTATGAAAGTAGATATCGATCGAATTGACAACTTAATTTGTTATTTACTTTCTAGTGCTATCTGCTTGTTGAATGTTATGTAATATACACAAACCGGCAGTACTAAGTAGTAATTAGGCTATGTGTGTGTATTAGTGAGACATAGGATGCACATGCTAGTTTAAATGTGGAATCAAAAGGACAAAACTAATTAATTGTAGCTATCTCTATTAATTAGTTTTGGTTCAACTAGTTCTTAAGTGTATTGCTATTGTGGTTAGACATGGAATGCTATCATGCCCAGTCTGTCATAGCAAGATTTGATTGAATGATAGGTTTGGTCAATGTTTTTAGAGAAGTTCGAATTTGTTATGGTTATCCTAATAAATTTGGGGGTTGAATACTTGAATGTAAGAATGCCTTTTGACCTGTGATCAATGGAATAATTGAGTTGTCTGTCCCTTGGATCAGTAATTTGTTACTTGAATTCTTTTCTTTTATTTACTTTTTGTTATTGAATTTCATTTTCATAGTTTAGAAAAACAATCCGAAAATTCTCATCTGCATTAATTTGAAGGAAATAATCCATTGTTCCCTGACGAGACGACCTTACTTCCCTATACTATGTAGCTTGAAGTAGGCTATTTTATTTGTGTGGCTCGACACTCCATCAAGTTGGCGTCGTTGCTGGGGAACGGTGTTAATTGATTTGCTTCCTTTAAGTATTGTTTTATTTCTTTTCATTTTTCTTTTTATAGTGGACTATTATGCAAATCAATCTTGGAACCAACAAGATGACCACTGGAATAAAAATGAGGTAAGCTCTTCGTCTCTTGAGCAACAATTATTTGAACTAACATCTCTTGTGAAAGAATTTTGTTATAGGTCAACAAAAACAAGTCATAAGATGTTGTCTTTGTTCAATGATTGGTCAAACTAGAGAGTTTTGTTCAAGATTAGCATATCACCAGTGGAAGTCTTAGAATGTCATGAGAGCATCTTTAGGGCCACCACAAGAAGGATATGAACCTCGTTCATAGTCTTATGACCCAAACTTGCAAAACTACCCGATGTTCAGCTATGACTATGAACCACTTCATACCCCACAAGCATATCAATCTCCAGCACCTCCACAGTTTCAGAATTCAGGTATGTCTGTAGAGGATATTGTCAAATCTTTAGCTTCTAACGCTCTCCAACTTCAGCAGGATGTGGTGGTTTTCCAACAAGAAATAATAGCAAGCATACAAAATTTGGGGAAGCAATTTAGCCAACTAGCTAGTACTATGAGCAAGCTTGAGTTTTCAAGGTCTGTGAAAGTACCATCTCCATCGGTATTTAATCCCATAGAGAGTGTTTGTGCCATAAGCAAGAAACTAGTGACTCATAAAGATGATGTGTCTGAGAAGAAGGTAGCAACTGAAGTTGTTATAGAAGAGCCACACTATATGATACTTCCTCCGTTTCCTAGTAGATTCTCAAAGGCTGAGTTAGAGAACATGAAATATTATTTCATAGAACAGATTATGGTGTAGAGACTCCACCTACTCAAAACACAGATGATTTGAAACATATCAGAGTAGAGAAAACGAAGAAGAGGCATCGGACGACAATGAGCTAATTGATCTTTCCATTTTATTTCGTCTAACTAATGCAGCTGATACTTCTTTTTCAGATATGTCAGTAGAGCCAAAGATAGATGAGCCCAAACAGAAAGTGATGGAGAACTTTTTCAAGAATGAGGTAGTTTTAGTTGGAGATGTTGTATCTGGTATGTTACAATCAAAACTTTTCATATACAATGATCCAGGTATACTTACTTTACCATGTTCTATTGCTGATGTGATTTATGAATGAAAATCTCCAAAAGTAGAGTTGAAAGCACCTACTATATATCTGAAGTATGCATATGGACATCTATCTCGACCTCCTAAAATAGAGATAAAGATAGATTCAATTTTAGAAATGCTAGATAAATGTGGAGCGTTTAAGGAATCATTTACAGGAAATTATTTTGCGCCTCATTTTGTTGATTCTGTGTCTGATGAATCTAAATCTGGTCCATCTAACTTTGATTTTATTGCAAATTTCTTAGGGTCTTATCATATTCCATTGTTAGGGGGAGTTTCAAAATTTCCTCCTTGAGACATGCGAAGTGGTCTAGCCAAAGACAATAAAGAAAGGCGCTATTAGGGAGGCAACTCAACGTGTTTAAATTATGTTGTTGTTTTTTTATTAGTTTGTTTGTTCTTTGTTATTTGGAGTTGAGTTTCAATGTGTGTTTAATGTTTTCTTTTAAGAAAATGGTGTTTTGTAAGGTCATGGATAAGTGCATTTTAGGTTTACTGGATTAATTTTTTGCAATTGTCATTTTTTCTTAGACGTGATCATGCCTAAGAGAATAATGGGTTGATTTCTTTTAACACCTGATCACGCCTAACTATTGTTTCCCTATTCCTTTGTTTTATTAAAAAAAAAAAAAAATTGAAAACAGAAACTCTTTTTCCAGGAACATTAAAATCGGCGGCCTCCCAAATGATTAACGGCGGTTCCAATAATCCCAAATCATGAAATGGCGGCGCTGTCCACTGTCAACTTTCTTCTCGGCTGCCTGTTTCTCGACGTTGTTCAGCAACCGCCATCCACCATAGCCGCTTCTCAAGGTAGACGTTCACCACCATCTCCACCACCTTTTGCGATCGCTGCTGCTCTGTTTTCCGATCGCGCCGCTGTTTGTCGATGGTTGCTGCTGTTGCTCAATTCCGAGCGCCCAATTGTTGCTGCTGTCTGCCGCAGATTTCTGTCTTTGTTTGCCCCCGTTCTACCTCTTGCGGCCGCTGCTGATCAATTCCGACAGTCCGCCGCTCCGCTGATTGCTTCTGTCAGTCACCAACGGCATCATCAATTCCAAAGTTCTACCGTTCGCTGTTGCTGCTAACAGTCCACCGTCAGACTATTCTTCCACTTGCCGTCATCAGCGGGAGCTCCAATTCCTCGCGACTGTCGCCTTCCGCTGCTGCTGTTCAGTTCGTCAACTTCAATTCCGTA